AGAACTTTCAGTATTTGGCTTCAAAACCAAGCTGTTCTTCCTTGTTCTGAATTCTTGGCCTGCTGTGAAACTAGCATTTTCTGTCTTTTACAGCATAGCCTCATTAGGTCATGGAAATTCACAGCTAGATCAAACTAGTGTATGGAAAATTTGAAGCCTTCTACTGGGGATTTAGCTTTGTGGCTTTGGAAGCTGCTGTGGAATGTGGGCTTTTACATTATCTGTTTCAAAAGCAATGCTAAAGAATAACTGGCATACTTATTAACATTTACTGGTTGTATTGCGTGTCTCATGCTAACTCTCACAAGAGGACACCAAACTATATGGTAGTTTCATATTGTTCAACTTAGATTTGTTTGTTTGTTTGTTGACTTTTTGAGATATGATCTCTCTATGCAACCCGGGCTTGCCTGGAACTCAATATGTAGGCCAGGTTGGCCTGGAGCTCGAAGAGATCTACATGCTTTTGTCTCCCAAGTGCTGGGACTAAAGGCATATAACACTATGACTGACTCAACTTATTTTTTGTCTTAAAGCTTTCACCTTAGAAACAAGTTAAGGGAATATGGCAAGATGGATCAGAGACATTTGTTGCCAAACCTGATAACCTGATTTTAATCTCCAGGACCCACATAGCAGTACTCTGATCTCTACATTTATGCATTCTCTCCTTTCCAGCAAGGACATGTAGTGTTTCCTTGTGACAGGTAGTGAGATGCTGGAAATTCCTTTCTCCACGTTAGTCCAAGCATTCCATGGATCTGCTTCTCTTGAGGCTATACATGTTGGGGTGCTTCCTAATTCCTCTCTCCTAGATGGAGGTAAAGATGTTCTGCCATGCTGACTTTTGTATCTTTAATGCCAAGATTGGCAATTTTGTTGTTTTGTTTGTTCAGTTGAGACAGCGTTTCTCTGTGTAGCCCTGGCTGTTGGGGAACTCTCAGTGTAGATCAGGCTGGCCTTGAACTCAGAGACCTGCCTGCTTTTGCCTCCTAAATATTAGGACTAAAGGTGTGTGCCACCACCACCCAGAATGGTAAGTATTAAATAAGCTGAACATAATATCCTAACAAAATTTCTTATGGAAATTAAATAAATCTGAATTCATTTGTCAATGGAAAAGGCAATCACTCAACTGAGGTTTTGTATTGTAGAATCGGTCACAGGGTTAGTGCGTGTGGTAGTTTTAGAGTTCTGAGGGTTTTACCCATGAACATTGTGCAGAAATTGTCTCCAGTTCTTCCAAAGAAAGAGCCAAGGTTGTTTGCTCTCTTGCCCCCCTCACCTCTTTATGCGTTTATTCTACTGTATGTCTGTCTGATTTTTGAGAAAGCATGTCATGTAGACCAGGTTGGTCTCAAACTCCTGACTCCGCCTCTCAGAAGCATGTGCCACCACTCTGGGCTGATAATTACTTGATGGCACCCTCTGACAGTTCATTTCCCTTATCATACTACTTAAGTTATGTGCTCAACTTGTTTTTATGTCTGTACCAACACGGGATGTAGTAGTTTTGTTGTGGTTGGAACTATTTTTGTGAAATACAGACTCATGTAGCGGCACCAAACGGCTTTGTAGTTGAGGATGACCTTGAACTTCTGGTTTTTTGCCTCGAACTTCCAAGTACTGGGACATAAGCTCAATAAAGCCAAGAATTTTTGTCTCTTTTGTACACATGTCTCCAGCATCACAAATTGTCTTTGACTCATTGAGCTTTGAAGAAACAAGAACGATCAAAGAATCTAAATTTTTAAAATTTTATTTTGGTTTTCCAAAACAGGGTTTCTCCGTGTAGCCCTTGCAGTCCTGGAATTTGCTCTGTAGAGCAGGCTGGCCTCAAACTCAGAAATCTGCCTGCCTCTGACTACCGAGTGCTGGGATTATCATTTAAAAATCAGATTCTCCTATTTTACCCCCAAACTTCTACAGTAACTACGGTGCTCACGCAGAATTTTGCACATTCGCCTGAAAGAGCAACAAAAGAAAAAAATTTTTTTTTCTTTTGAGACAGAGTCTCACTGTGCAGCTCTGACTGGCTCGAACCTGCTAGGTTGAGTAGGCTGGCCTCAAACTCGCAGAGATTTGTCTATGTCTGCCTCCTGAGTACTGGGATTAAAGACAGGAGCCACCACACCAAACTGAGTATTTAATAAATGACCAGGTACTTGGGAGTGTGTGCCTCCATTTTCTGTTCAACTTCGATGCGACTGATGTGATCTGGTCTAAGGAATCGAAGCAGGACTCCTCCAGGAATTGAAGCAGGACCACCTCCTCTGTGGTCCACGCGTGGCCTCAGGGTCACTATTGTCCATCAGCCTCCCAGCTGCTCCTGGTGTAGTGGTCCATCAGAGGTCGGTGATGAAGATGTAAGGACCTTAGTTCCCATCTTCTCTAGGGAGGTGGGCTGGAAAAGAGGACCACTCTAGAGGTGAGGGAAGCCAGGTGGTGGGCGGAGGTGAGAGGCTTAAGTGGGAAGGGCCACCTTAGTCATTCGGGCCGCCTGGTCGCCCCCTGAGGTGGCAGGGGACCCACAGCAGGCAGGGCTTCAGGGCGGCCCCTAGCGGGGAGGGCGAGCGCGGAGGTCAAAGGGCCAGTGCAAGCTCCGGGGAGCCCGCCACCCACCTCGGCCCCTCCTCTCGGTGGCCAGCCGGGGGGCGGG